ACAGTCTTTCATCGCAGCATTCGTTGTAAGAGTTCTAAAGTTGTCTGCCTTCGTTACTGGTGAGCCCTGTAGTCTTTACCAAATATTTGCCAGCAACCAAGAGCTAGGAGTCTTGCCTTATATTGTTTTTCGAATGTTTCTGGATTTGTTTTTTATAGAGTATACTCATCTACATTTTATTGGTTTTAATAATCTCCCATATTTTATGTTTTGCCAGGGACCTCATTTCTCTATTCGTCACCTCGATCCACTTTTGTTTATCTAGAGAATTAATGGCTTCTTCATGTTTTTCGGATGTATAACTCACAGGAAGTCATGAAGTTGGTTTCCGTTGGCTGATATGTTGGGTCTCCGTGTTCATCGTTAAATTACTTTCTTCCTCACTTAGTGGAGATTCATAGTAAAATCTTGGTCTTGGCGTTGCTTTTTAACTTGTATCTTCCAGAAATCCCCTTCGATGTAATAATTCGAGTTTTCCTCATGTTGTTCCTCATCTTGATACAGAGTTTCATCACACTGATGTAGTGTGAATTCATTACGTGTTAATTTTATTAATGCGTAGTCCCTTTTGTTACATTGTTCGTTGGGTGATAGGAGACTACAGTATTTCATACTTTTTATGTTCAAGGAAAATGACATTTCTAGTTTTCGCTATATTTGAATTTGTTGGGTTAAAGTTTCTAAATGTCCTTTCTTTCATTCGAATACCCCATGTGAGGGTTCTAGGGATTTCTAGATTCCAACCCCACTTCCGTGACACCAATATGTGAGCCAGCGGGAGGGAAGAGGAGTCCTCTCCTTCCGGCCACTGGTCGGTGACCTACTTTCTTGTCAGGGATGGTAGTAACGTGCGGTTACGCGTTACGCGAGTGGAGGAGAGTTACGGGGCCGACGATAAGGCGTTGGCATAGTCGAATAAAGACACCATTTTTCTAAACTAACAATTTATTACAGACAAATAATAAAACAAACGTTCTAACACGTTACGTCTCATTCGCGTATGAGAGAGAGAGCTTACAATAAAGCGTTCATACCTCTTGCGATGATATCGACGGTCCTTAATTTCAGAAAAGCGGGATCCAAGTTGAAGGTTGGGATCGAAGGTCTTCTAATTTTGGGTGCGGCCGTTTAGAGGGAAGCGAATGTCCGTCTTGATGGTGCTATGGCGACTTCTTGATCAGCGATTCCCCGGAGAGGGGGAAGGAGGATGGCTTTTATACCTTTTTGGTGGGAAAATTCGTCAGGTGATCAATTGTTTTACCAGGTGTGAGGTTAAAGGTGTTGTTAGAATGACAACAATATGACGAATATCGCCGATAACTGTAAACTATATACGGTTTAATCGTGAGAATGTTTATATTAAAACAAAAAGAGTTATAATTCTCGCATGTACTTTAGATTTCGTTTTTGTAGGGTCAAATTCCTTTGGTTGAGGACATTTTTATTTTAAATTTATTAAACTTTTAAAGTATTAAATGCTTTTATTAACTTCGAATTTCACACCCCACAAATATTCCTGGCTCAGTCACTTTATCAAATTTTCCCCTGATTTGTTTAGAAGTCCAATGTTGTACAGTACAGTACTTGACAACCAAAGACTTTTAAGTGTCCGACCGTTGGTCTCTTACCTCTAAATAGTTCTTCAGATGTCTTCTTATCAAACATTTTTGAAGGTATTCGATTTTTTATGTGGGTTAAAGTATTCATTGCTTCTGTTTAGAAGTTTGTTGGAAAATCTGCTGTATTAATATGGCTCTTGTTCCTTCTCTCAACCAGACTTTAATTGGCCGTTTCTACAATACCAATTTGAGCAGGTGAATAATATGTGGTTAATTTATGTTCTACGCCTTTTCGTTTTAAGTATTGTTTCATTTCTTTATTTAAAAATTTCGTGCCATTATCATTCCTTACGTCTTTTATCGTTTTGTAGCCTCTCAATAAATTCCTTCAGTGTTTCATGCGTATCGGATTTTTGTTCCAAGGATGATGTAAACACTTTTCTGGAATTGTCATCGACTATTGTTGGGACAAATCTAACTCCCCGATGGATGCTATCATGATTGGACCTATTATATCCAAATGTAAGAGTTCAAATGGTTTTTTAGTTTGTCTTCAGATTTCTTTAAAGCGTTTCCTAGCATATTTTGCTGAACGCATGTAACACAGTGTTCCAGCCTGTTTCTTGAATGATAGTTGAATTTGTATACATATCATATTTTATCATAAAGTCCATGTAGGGATCCTTATATGAGCTAATCTTTTATGTCAGGTTTCCAGCATGATTCCTTTCCTTTAAGACTGAGTTCGTGTTTAATTTTTTAGGTGTAATCGTATAAAAATCGTGTTTTATTTTTCCAAGATTATTATTACCCGTTCATCATTTAATATTTGACCATCATCCTTATTAAAAACCACACTTTTATCATCATCTATTAGTTTCTTTGCTGATGTTAAATTACTTGTTAGCTAAGGTACTGTACAGTACTGTACATAGAGTACATCCTTTAGTATTACTTTGATGCCAATTTTACCGTCTAGTCAACAGTACCTCGGGCTTCGGATATTATATAACTATCATCAGCTAGGGCTATTTTTGTTTCATTTCGTTGTTTTTGCATCATACTATGTAAGTTGCATGTCATGTGAGTGGTAACTCCACTGTTCATTTTCTGAATTAGTTTCTGTAATAATTCTTGCTTTCAAGGCTAGAGCTGTGTTTGTTTTTGTGCCTTTTTCCCCGGTCTTTGCAACGGTTGCTCTTGAAGATTTCTTAAAATTTGTTTCTCTGTGTCCATCTGCCCTTGGATTCTCTAAATACTTTCTTGAGTTATACCGGCACTGAGAAGCTTTATGCTCTACTCTGTTAACTCTGTTACAAACGAAACAAATTATTCTTTCTCGGTTAGTATTTTCACCTAGCTTAACTATTTTGCTCCTTAATTTTTGCTTTGTACGCTGCTGGAAGATTTTTATATTCGGCTTGATCGTAACTCTCATCATATGTGTTGAAGAGCCTGTAGATATCACTCATGCTCATCCTTTCTTTGTCTTCAATCTTTATAGCTATTAAATTATATTTATTCGGTAATCCTTTTATTAGGACACTTACGAATTCGTTATCGTCTATCTGCGCACTCAGTATACCCGCGTTTTCAAGTAGTTTTTCCGCTCTTAACGGATATTCTTTTCAGGCCTCGTTTCCTTTCATTTGTACCCTTGATACTTCATTTCTAGCCTCAATACGTCTCCGTCTAATGTCGCCTTCATATGTCTTAATCAGCGATTCCCAGGTTTCTTTATTTATTCTACATGTTAGAATTAACGACACTTTGGTATCATTTATGGAGCATGTTAATATTTCCTTAACTAGGGCATCAAATTTCCTCTAAATTTCCTTTTCGGATTCGTGTATAGGAGAATCATCCAAATAAGTATTTTTCTAATCCTTTATTTTCCATGACCGTTTTGATTCTAAATTTCCAACTCGTAAAGTCTGTCCTATCAAACTTCTTTGTATTTAATTGTACAGTACATTCTCCATGTTGATTTAAAGTTTTTTAAACAAATGTCTTACCTTGAGTATCTTCTATTTGGAGATACTAGCCAGGTTACACAATGTTTCATCCTTTACATAAACAAACTATTTCTGGGCCCTTACGTAAAATTTCAAATGGTAAAGAACTTTTACATATTAATTTACAACAGTTTTTATTTTGAATATAAGATGAGTGATGCATTAAATTAAATGCAGTCTTTATCTGAGCGCGGATTAAATCGATAAAATACGGTATTTAGGCTTATTAGCTGTACTGTCCTTTAGATAAGGAATAGGTACAACTTATGCCTACCTGATACAACAGCAATCCAACAGGGTCAGAGCTGGCAAGCTGGCAATGCCAACACAGTTCGAAAAACACAATCACAAGTTAGAGTCGGAGAGATGACAGATTGCACTTGGTCAACACCAACTGTTCTTAATTTAGGGATGATGATAGGGTGACAGGATGGGTTAGTTCTGTCGTAATTTTGCCACAAATATAGTTAAGCTGTTCGAGTTTTATCAGTTATGAATACGATAGTTTTTCCTCGAAACAAGCAATTGTGTAAACAAAGGCGAACTCTCTTTTAGCCTGGTGATAATTGGAAAAGTAGGGAAAGGCGGAGTGATCTATAGATTTAAGTCAGTCACACAGATTTCTACTTTGACGGATACTATTTTTGGATTGGTTTGGCTTAATTAGTTAAACGAGGCACCAGCACATATTACGCTGCCTCTGTTAAGACTATTCTGGCGTTGGCACGACTCACAATGGTGCTCGGACAGTGAATGGCAACGTACAAACTCCAAGCAAGTTTAATGGAATGAAAAGAGATCACCTATTTTTACCTTTTTCAATGCGTCATTAAACTTCCTTGAAATTCGAACAGAGGTTTGACACGGAGAATTACGCTAAATGCTAATTTAATCGACAGGACCGAACTTTCTTGAAAACAAAAAGTTCAATATAAAAGTAAAAATAGTAAAATATTTTTTAAAAAACCTAAAAAAATTAATATTGAAAAAGTAAAATTGGAACAACTTATCCAATTTGGGAGCAATAAATAACAATGAGATTAGTCTACTGCAGTGAACATAACAGTACAAAAGAAGTTACTGTAAAACTCGAAAATAAAATATAAAGTTTGAAGTTTCATTTCTGAGAATTTAGTAAATTGTTTTACTTTAATACTGTATTAATGTTCTACAAATATAAATAAAACAAGTAAAATAATAAGTATTAAATGAAATTATTAACCTAACCAGAACACTTTTGGTGACCTGGTTTTACCTAAATCACCTTAATGTTTAATAAATAAGCATATTTAGAATATAGTTAACATAAATTTAAAATATTCTAATGTTTAGAGTAGTAATAATTTTTTATTAGTAAAAAAGTGTTATAGATTGCATAAGTTTTCTCTCATATTGCACATAAAAAATTAATATATTATTCTTTTAGATTCCGGATCAAAGTTTTGGACCAGCTGTAGTCGGTGTAAGATTTCGTTAATTTTTATAATAAATTATATTAATACAGTAGTTCTGATAGTAAATATTATAGGCCTACATACACAGTGTTGCGTTTTTATTAGTCATGTTTTTTCCGTTTGAAAGGGTTAAAGAATCTGTCTAATGTCGATTGCTTTTCTCTCTTCTTCACGATTTTTCGTAAGTAATTAATAGCATTGTAATTGTAGAGGTCCCCAAGCCTCAACATGGTTTGGATGCCATTCTAAGACCGTTGTTCTGACATCCTCCCACTTCTACAAAGGATCTTTAAAGATATCGACACTAATCCTCTTTTTCAGAAGAAAACATATCTTGCTGAGTTTCTTGGTGTTCTTCATTCAAAAGTTCTAGGCGTTCTTCTGTCGTCAGATCAGTTTTAGGTTCCATTACGAACTCTTCGATGTTCTTTATTTCTCAGAAGTGATTTTTGTTACTGCTTTAGCTGCTGGAGTCTTTTTGATTACACAGCATTTTTCTTAAATAAGATTGAACTGAGGCCTACTGTAGACCTGTTTATTCCATATTGCCCGGCAACATTAGGTATCTTCTGTCCACTCTCTACCTTTGCTATTATACTCTCATCTTTCGAAAAGAAAAACAGACGCAAAACTTAACGAGTGCCTACCCGACAGTCTCGTGAATACACAAAAGAATTGTTTTGTCAGAAAAATAAAAGGCTGGAATTACAAGGGAGAATTTCAAAGTTCGGAGGAATACTATCCGATCGGCTTGAGCGTCGATGTCGACGTCTCCCACACTCCGAAAAGTTTCGAATTGTTGCCCGAAGACAAGGGAAGACCAATCGGTATTCATTATTTTACGTCGCTTCTTCTTGTATTTGTTCTGTTGGGTGTTCGTTATCCGATCATGTGTTCGTTGTCCGAACATAAAAATCTTTCGCGAAAGTGTTCATTATCCGATCTGTTCGTTATCCGATCTGTTCGTTAACCGATCACCCACTGTATATGCCTACGTATATATATACGAAATGGAACATTAATAATTTACCGTTTTTATGTAAACAGATAATGTTAAAAAATAAAAAAAATTAACATTGTAAACTCGTACATTGCTTCAAAAATAACTGACAAATTGAATAATAATATAATTTCCATTATAATAGTACCAAGTCAATAGCTTTCAGCTATATATATATATCTCAATAATAACTCCAGCGCTTTTTGTCCAAAAGTTTTTAAATTTTGGAGAGAGGTTTGTGTGTTAGAGGATTGATGCTATTAAGTTTTGGTGGTTAAAGATCGACGGGGTGGGAAGATAAAAGGGGGTCATGTGTCATTACCTCTGCATATTACTGACCAACATTAACTACACAATTCGGCGTAGGGACTTGGCAACCCACCTCCCAGGATGTAAACCTTGCAGTTAACCAAAGGTTCATCAGTAAATGGCAAACACCAATGGATGTCATCACTTGCCCCTTGCCAACCCTCACTGAAGCACCATGGTAAGGTACCCCTGTATGCCATGGCACAAGAAAAACCACGGCTCTTATTCTCCGTAGGCCCGAATGACTCTAGGAGGGGTAGACATCAGGAACCAATTAGGAGGGCAGAGTATGGTAAAAATCCGCACAGTACCCACACAGAAAAACAGAATAGTCGACGTAACGATTATCTCTGATTGAATAGCCAACTTAACCTTATAGCTTACAAAAAGGTACACTATACAGATTGTACAAGTATACACTTAAGCAATTTCACACCCAGACGAAGAAATAGAGGAATTCTGTAACGATATAGCCGAAACACTGTATAGAAGCCATTTCAAATATCTAATTGGGGACTTTAACGCCAAAGTGGAAAAAACAAACGACCAGGAACAAGTCATGGGGATCTATGGATTTGATGAAAGGAACAAAAGAGGAGAAAGACTGGTGCAATTTGCAAGTTACCACAAGTCCATATCGAGTACATTCTTCAAGAAGAACCCCGACAGAAAATGGACATGGAAAGCACCAAATGCAGCGACTAAGAACGAAATTGACTACATTCTTACCAACAAGACACACAGTTAAGGATGTCAGCGTTCTTAATAAATTCCAAACAGGCAGTGACCATCAACTGGTCATATCGAGAATTATCTTAGATTTAAAACTAAAAAGACTTAACTTAGTCAGAAAACCAAAAACATCAGAAATCAACGTCAACAACCTAATGAAAAACTCAGATCAAAACTAAAGGGCACTCGACAAAAGACTACAGTACCAAGACAATAGCTTTCAGCTAATGGAAATTATTCTGGACTGTGCTAAAAAGATAGAAAAACCGCAACAAAAATGAACACAAGAAACTGTCGGATAAAACTAAAAATTTGTTAAAACGAAGACGTGAAATAAAAACAAGTACCAATACACAGAGAATAGAATACTGTACAAAGAATTACGCAAGAGAACAAGGAAAAAGATAACAAATGATATTAGGAAATACAATGAACAACTGATTGACAATGCAATTGAAAATAGAAAAAGCTACAATGGGATTTTTAAAAAATGCTAATCATGGGGAAGTAACAAATAATCGCGCTGGTAAACGAAAACACACGGGCCACAAACAAAAACGAAATAATAAAACAAGTAACAAAGTTCTACCATAAATTACACCCTTTTGATTGGTCTTGTATCCCTTCTCCCTCACTCCGATTGGACATTCTTCTATCTCCAGGCGAAACCGAGACCGATTCGAGTCGCGGGACAGGTCCGAAAGGTGTTGACGCAGCTTTGAAGTCTGCGCTCGTATTTTACTCCGTTATTGTCTTTCTCTGACGTTTTTGAACTTAACCGATTTGCCAGATGTTTTTGTGGCAGTTTACCCCAAATAGTTTAGGGCTTACGTGACTTAACAAATGTCCCCTTGGTCATTAGCCCCGTTTTCTCGATTGTTTGTACACAGGCACTTGTATACGAGTACCCTGACAAGACTCCCTCTCTCTCGGTCGACATTCCCTTCGTCGTTCATCATCGCGTCGCGTTTGTTTTAAAACAAGCATTTTCCTTTCTGCCTGGTCAACATTACACAGAATTAAAAGCTAAAGTGAAAATATATGATGACAATCCAAAATTTCCCACTACTAAAGGCATTCGAGACTCAATATCCCCCAAGCTCTTCATGGCAACCCTAGAAAATGTATTCCGTAAAATGCACTGGAAGAACAAAGGTCTATCTGTAGATGGAGAACACGTCAATCATATAAGTTTCGTTGATGATATCGTCCTGATAGCTAAAGATCCTACAGAATAACAAGAAATAATCACTAATTCAAACGCAGATAGCAATGAAATTGGCCTTAAAATCAAATTGGAGGAAACGAAAACCATGTACGATGAACTAGAGACAATCATGACATAACAATAAATGACACCACACCAGAAACAATAGATGAGTATATACATACCTGGGACTACTTGTCCCAAGTAATACGCAAATCTGGTTCACTACTTCCAGAAGTCAACAGTAGAATCAAACTGGCATGATACCTATACATTTGGACGATACTTTGTAATCTTCAAGTCCGGAATGCCAATCCACCTGAAGAAAACAGCGATTGATCAATATTAGTCATGACATAAGGATGCGACATTTCTTTAGTCATGACATGGATTAATCATGACTAAAGAAAAAAATAACAACGAAGCTCCAAGTCACTCAAAGGTGAATCAAGTGATACATGCTAGGAATAACTAAGAGAGATTACAAAAGAATAGAGTGGATTACGCAGATAACTTAGGTAACTGCTGTAATCCACATAATTAAATCTCTCAAATAGCAATAGGCAGGACATCTAGCGAGAAGGACTAACAACAGATGGTCCACGACAATTAAGAGGCCCAGAGGACGTCCAAGCTTAAGATGGGACTATGACATAAAGAAATCAGCAGGCACAACATGGTGAAGAGAAGCAAATCATAGGCAAACATAGAAACAAATAAAAGACGATTATGCAAGAGAGGCTACACCATAATTGGAAATAATTGGATGATGATGATGATTAACTGCACAAGTTGTTATAAATTACCTAGTGAGATAATGCTAGAGAACCGAGTGAGATGCTAATGAGTTTGGAACCTGGCAGTGTCATCCTATCGCCCCTAAAATGGGGACAGTGAAATTGCGTGTCAGTCTGTTCGGTAAAACTTAACATATACATGTTTACCCACGTCGTCACAAAAATAGTCCAAACGTATTGTAGAAATCACAACTATCTTATCCATCAAAATCTAACCATCCAAAATTAGATATCAGTACAATATCTAAAGGNCAATTCTTGCATTCTGTGAAAACGGGTAAGGTTTACTGTAACGTAATAATCTTTATCTTAGTTATCGTTACTTTTGCCCGAGCAACGCCGGGCCCACCTGCTAGTTATTACATAAAATAACGTAATATTACATGATGTTATTGCGTGAGATCTCCAATTTCTTTGATACGGTCGAGAAATTTAGCAACAATACAGTATCTACGGAGTTGACATAAAATCTGGAAACAGATTAATTTATTCATCATGTTTATTAGAACGCGTTCGTTATAATTTTCACGGTTTTATTCAACTTCTTTGAAGTTAATAACTCCAGTTCTTTTTTTCGAACATTTTTGAAATTTTGGAGAGAGGTTTGTGTGTTAGAGGATTGATGCTATTAAGTTTTGGTGGTTAAAGATCGACGGGGTGGGAAGATGAAAGGGTGTCATGTGTCACCTCTGCATATTACTGACCAACATTAACTGCACAATTCGGCTTAGGGGCGTGGTGACCCACCTCCCAGGACGTAAAACCTTGCAGTTAACCAAAGGTTCATCAGTAAATGGCAAACACCAATGGATGTCATCACTTGCCCCTTGCCAACCCTCACTGAAGCACCATGGTAAGGCACCCATGTATGCCATGGCACAAGAAAAACCACGGCTCTTATTCTCCGTAGGCCCAAATGACCCTGGGAGGGGTAGACCTCAGGAACCAATCAGGAGGGCAGAGGATGCTAAAAATCCGCGCACTCTAAACCAAAACTACCAACACAGAAAAACAGAATAGTCGACGTAACGAGTATCTCTGATTGAATAGCCAACTTAACCTTGTAGCTTACAAAAAGGTACACTATACAGATTGTACAAGTATAGACTCAAGCAATTTCACACCCAGACGAAGAAATAGAGGAATTCTGTAACGATGTAACCGAGACACTGAATAGAAGCCACTTCAAATATCTAATTGGGACTTTAACGCCAAAGTGGAAAAAAGAAACGACTAGGAACAAGTCATGGGGATCTATGGATTTGATAAAAGAGGAGAAAGACTGATGCAATTTGCAAGTTACCACAACAAGTCTATATCGAGTACATTCTTCAAGAAGAACCCCAACATAAAATGGACATGGAAAGCACCAAATGCAGCGACTAAGAACGAAATTGACTACATTCTTATTAACAAGGCACACAGTTAAGGATGTCAGCGTTCTTAATAATTTCCAAACAGGCAGTGACCATCAACTGGTCATATCGAGAATTATCTTAGATTTAAAACTAGGAAGATTTAACTTAGTCAGAAAACCAAAAACATCAGAAATCAACGTCAACAACCTAATGAAAAACTCAGATCAAAACTAAAGGGCACTCGACGAAAGACTACAGAACCAAGACGATAGCTTTCAGCTAATGGAAATTATTCTCGACTGTGCTAAAAAGATAGAAAAACTGCAACAAAAATTAACACAAGAAACTGTCGGATGAAACTAAAGATTTGTTCAAACGAAGACGGGAAATGAAAACAAGTACCAATACACAGAGAATAGAATACTGTACAAAGAATTACGCAAGAGAACAAGGAAACAGATAACAAAGGATATTAGGAAATACAATGAACAACTGATTGACAATGCAATTGAAAATAGAAAAAGCTACAACGGAATTTTTAAAAAATGCTAATTATGGGAAAGTAACAAAAAATACGCTGATAAACGAAAACACATGGGCCACAAACAAAAACGAAATAATACAACAAGTAACAAAGTTCTATTATAAATTATACCCTTTTGATTGGTCTTGTGTTCCTTCTCCCTCACCCCGGTTGGTCGTCATTCTTCTATCTCCGATTCCGAGACCGAGTCGGGTTGCGAGAAAGGTCAGAGAGGTGTCGACAGAGCTTTGAAGTCTGCGCTCGTATTTTACTCCGTTATTGTCTTTCTCTGACGTTTTTGAACTTAACCGATTTGTCAGATGTTTTTGTGGCGGTTTACCCCCAAATGGTTTAGGGCTTACATGTCTTAACAAATGTCCCGCTTGGTCATTCGCCTCCATTGTTTGCACCCAGGCACTTGTATACGAGCACCTGACAAGACTCCCTCTCTCTCGGTCGACATTCCCTCCGTCGTTCATAACCGCATCGCGTTTGTTTTAAAATAAGAATTTTCCTTTCTGTCTGGTCAACATTACAGAGAAGAAAAAGCTGAAGTGAAAATATATGATGACACTCCACAATTTCCCAGTACTAAAGGCATTCGACAAGAAGACTCAATATCCCCGAAACTTTTCATGGCAATCCTAGAAAATGTTTTCCGTAAAATGCACTGGAAGAACAAAGATCTGTCTATAGATGTGTTACATCAACCATCTAAGAATCGTTGACGATGTCGCCTTGATAGCTAAATATCCTACAGAACAACAATATGCACAGAACAACAAGAAATAATCACTAATTTAAACGCAGATAGCAATGAAATTGGCTTTAAAATGAACTTGGCGGAAACGAAAATCATGTACAATGAACTGGAGACAATCAAGACATAACAGTAAATAACACCATACTGGAAACAGTAGATGAGTATATATACCTAGGACTACTTGTACCAAGTAATACCCAAATCTGGCTCACTACTTCCAGAACTCAACAGGAGAATCAAACTAGCATAATAACTGTATACGAAATATTGTAATCGTCAAGTCCAGAATGCCAATTCACCTGAAGAAAAGAGCGTTTGAGCAATACCAGTCATGACATACCGATGCGAAACTTGGACACTAAAGAAAGAAATAACAGCGAAGCTGCAAGTCGCTCAAAGGTGAATGAAGCGATACATGCTACGAATAAATAAGAGAGATTACAAAAAAATACAGTGGATCAGGCAGATAACCCAGGTAACTAGTGTAATCCACATAATTAAATCTCTCAAATGGCAATGGGCAGGACATCTAGCGAGAAGGACTGACAACAGATGGTCCACAAGAATTATGATGTATTATCCACGAGAAATAAAAGACGATTATGCAAGAGAGGCTACACCATAATTGGAAATGTTAGAATAAGCTGAAAGTGATGATGATGATGATGATGATTAACTGTACAAGTAGTTATAAATTATCTAATGAAATATTGCTAGAGAACCGAGTGAGATGCTAATGAGTTTGGATCCTGGCAGTGTCATCCCCTAAAATGGGGACAGTGAAATTGCGTGTCAGTCTGTTTGGTACAACTTAACATACACGTGCTTACCCACGTCGTCACAAAAATAGTCAAAACGTATTGTAGAAATTACAGCTATCTTATCCATCAAAATCTAACCATCCAAAATTAGATATCAGTACAATATCTGAACGCGCATTAAAGTAGAGGTAGAGTGAAGGCATAGTCAACTTGATAAAGGCGTTACTGGAACATTGTAGGATCTTGCTATTTCGAAACTTTAACCGAGTCTCACTGTTTCCAGAAACTTCTGGTTGCCGCTTACAATAAGATGATCTTCTGCTTACAGTAATCGAGAATACGGTAAAACGATTCAGAATGTTCGGTTGGACCGTGGAAGATGTCAAGAGTTCGCTACTAATATCTTTAAAATATTCTAAATTATTTAATGTAATAAAATTATATATGAAAATGTTATATTCTCAAAGTTTATCAATTAACTCAAGATATTACCACAAAGATACATTATTTATTGTAAATAAACTTATTTTCAATTTTAAATTTAGAAATAGCATTGAATTTATGTGTTTTTAATTTTATAGAGCGATTTTTTTCCCGCGGTTAAGTTAACTAAAAGTATTATAAATCTATTTATTAACTTTTTCACAAATGTTTGAGTTTTCATGTTCAATAATTTCAATTAAACAATATGAAATAATTTTAAACTATTTCGCGTTTTTTTAAAAATTCGTAAGTTTTTCAGAATGTTAAAATTTAAAATTTTGTCACAATCTCTCACGGCCAATAATGACAGACGCAGCGCTGGATAAAAAGTATGGCTATTGTATCACAGTCAAACACATAGGAGAAAGTGGTGCAAGATGGGGTCATGGGGTAAGACGGGGACGTCTGTTTGTTTATTCGTGGTTAACGTGCTTTCATCTAGCTGTTATTTGGGGAATTAAATGTTAACCTCAAAAGGGATCATGGGACGAGAGAACGTCCGAATCGTTCTTTGTTTGGAAGTAAGAATGTTTTCCATGTTTCAAAAATACTTCATTTAATTTTACGCCTCCTGAAAAGTTTCTACAAAGAAAGTATCATTGTGAACTTTTACATTATCTTTTAGATGAAGATATTATGGTATTCAAATTAACCTTTAAAACTTTTGAAATAAAGTTGACTTGTGTTTGCAGTCAATATGAAAAGTGCACGTTGGGGCAAGATGGTGGGGACAAGATGGGGTACTCCGTCTTGCCCCAGATTGATTATGAATATAGCCAATGAATTCAGAAGTATTTTCGGCTGCAGACTTTATTGCTGCAGAGATGACAAACAGGCCCCTTCAGCAGCAGGACATACCAGGATTAACGTTTTAGAACAAACAAAACCATGAATTCGGAGGTATGCTTAATCTGGGTGCAGAAACGGTCACTGATTACACCACTACAAGTAGGCCTACTCATTCAGTTTTTACTGGAGTCTCCCCCATAGAAATAATGCCAATTCCATACATGTTGGAACGAAGAAAAACATCGAAAATAGCAGAAGGAGAGGAGAAGGAAAACAGCAATCCTAACAGATACACCATACAAGCAGCAGCTGATGGAACAATAAAAACAATCAACAGTAGTTTCGACACTCCAAGGAAAACGGTCTTTGTTTGCCGAAAGAAATTCCGTAAAATCAAAAGTTACAGGCATCAGCAAGGGTAGGCCTAACAAGAAACAAACGACAAATGACACAGAATGCTTCTATTGTGGAGGGTTATTACTCTGCATGTACAGAGAGTTGTGCTAAATGGGCACACTGTTCCTTTGCCAATATTCAAGAAAACGACAATTTAACCATTATAATTTATTCTTCTTGTATATTAAAATAATAAACAATAACTAAATCAACACCTGATCACTCGCTGAGAGATTTATTCTTAACACAAACGTTTTCAATCCAATCAATAGATCATCGTCAGGTAAATTAGAACATTTCAAAAAATAGAACAACAAGTTCAAAATACAAAAATAATAAATATTANTTAGATATCAGTACAATATCTAAAGGCGCATGAAAGCAGAGGTACAGTGAAGGCAGGTCAATTGATAAAGGCGTTACTGGAACATTGTAGGGTCTTGCTATTTTGAAACTTTAACCGAGTCTCACTGTTTCCAGAAACTTCTGGTTGCCGCTTACAATAAGATTATTCTCTACTTACAGTATTCGAAAATACGGTAAAACGATTCAGAATGTCCGGTTGGACCGTGAAAAATGTCAAGAGTTCGCTACTAATATCTTAAAAATATTCTAAAGTATTTAATTTAATAAAATTATGTATGAAAAATGTTATATTCTCAAAGTTTATCAATTAACTCGAGATATTATCATAAATATGCATTATTTATTGTAAATAAACTTGTTTTCAATTTTAAATTTAGAAATAACATTGAATTTATGTGTTTTTAATTTTATAGAGCAATCCATTTCAGTTGGTAAGTTAACTAAAAGTATTATAAATCTATTTATTAACTTTTTCACAAATGTTTGAGTTTTCACGTTCAATAATTTTCATTAAACAATATGAAATAATTTAAAACTATTTCGTGTTTTTTTAAAAACTTGTAAAAGTTTTTCAGAATGTTAACATTTACAATTTTGTCATTGGAATTAGTGAAATTAGACGGAAAGGTGAATAGCTATTAGATCTGACAACAGGCAATTCTCTTTACTACTGAAGGATACTGACGGGCAGAACAAGCGGCGTAGGATCCCTAAGTAATAAGAAATGGAAAAACAAAACAGTCGACGTAACGAGTATATCTGATTGAATAACAAATTTAACCTTATAGCTTACAAAAAGGTACACTATACAGATTTTACAAGTATAAGCTCCTGCTACTTCATACCCAATCGAAGAAATAGAAGAACGATGTAGCCGAGACACTGAATAGAAACCATTTCAAATATCTAATTGGGGACTTTAACGCCAAAGTGGGAAAAAGAAACAGTAGTGATAAACAGAGCCGGCCCTACCATAGGGCAAACGGAGCAGTCGCTCCGGGCGCTAAGTCCTAGGGGGCGCCTCAGTGGTAAAGAAAATTAAAGGGTATAAAATTAGGGGCAACCAAGGGGGCGCCATAATAGGATCTCGCTCCATCCTAAAACTTGCCTCGGGCCGGCACTGGTGATTAAATACTGATTCTGGCTCACAAAATGTGAATGACCCAAAATCAAAAAATTTCATAATCATGAAAAATCAAAATCGAGAAAAATCATTTAAAAATATAAAAATCGTTTCTCACCCACCAAGAATCACCTCATTCACATGCCTATAAATTTTTTAAGCCTCAAAAATCGAAAAATTATCTATCCACTATGGAGGTGTGAATTTTATCATGCAAATAAATAAAAAAAATTGGTACCATAAATCATGCCTATGACTAGTTAGCTACAAACTGTCCGATGTGCTTTATTAGAATTCCCACAATCTTTCGTACCTCTGTATACTAATGTTAAATCATTCATGTTGTTTAAATCCTCAAAATGCTTATCCGTTTTTTTTTTTCATTGAGTTGATCTGGCAAATAAACTTGAAATTCATTCCATTTAGAGTCCATGAGAACTACTAATTTTTTTATCGCCGTAGCTAGTGGATACTGATTTAACATTACGAACTGGATATTCTTTATCAGTTTGTAGTTCGTTTAACTTTGGGGCCGTCCATAAATTACGTAAGATATTTTGGGGTGGGTGGGGTCAAGAATTTCTTACGATTTCTTACTCAGGTATAAGGGGGTAATAGATCTCGTCTTACGTAATATTCTTATTTTTATTTTTTGATCTCGTTGAGTGATGGCGCTTTGAATTTGGCTTCAATTTGATGGTTTCTATTAAGAACGCTCGTTGTCTNTTCTTGTATATTAAAATAATAAACAATAACTAAATCAACACCTGATCACTCGCTGAGAGATTTATTCTTAACACAAACGTTTTCAATCCAATCAATGGATCATCGTCAGGTAAATTAGAACATTTCAAAAAATAGAACAACAAGTTCAAAATACAAAAATATAAATATTAATAACGGATAACCAATATGCTACTAACAGCAAAATAACGTTTTTAAATAATGAAAAATTAATACAAATGCTGCTAAAATTAAAAATAAAAATAAAAATAAAATATTAAAATATAACAAATAAATTGTGTATACAAAATATTAATACTTCAAACTTAATAGGCAAATCGATAACACTATATATTAATATTGCTTAATAAACTGTACGGAGTTTCTCAACTTAACTATACAGAGTTTTTTATACATATTATTAAAGCTCCTATTATTATTAGTAACATATTGGTTATCCGTTATTAATATTTATATTTTTGTATTTTGAACTTGTTGTTCTATTTTTTGAAATGTTCTAATTTACCTGACGATGATCCATTGATTGGATTGAAAACGTTTGCGTTAAGAGTAAATCTCTCAGCGAGTGATCAGGTGTTGATTTAGTTATTGTTTATTATTTTCTGCTGAGCACGCTTTGGGTTGTTTATAAAAATAATATCCCCATCTTACCCCATGGGTAGGGCAAGATGGTGAATTTACATATAATTTTAAAATATTANTTTTCACGTTCAATAATTTTCATTAAACAATATGAAATAATTTAAAACTATTTCGTGTTTTTTTAGAAACTTGTAAAAGTTTTTCAGAATGTTAACATTTACAATTTTGTCATTGGAATTAGTGAAATTAGACGGAAAGGTGAATAGCTATTAGATCTGACAGCAGGCAATTCTCTTTACTACTGAAGGATACTGACGGGCAGAACAAGCGGCGTAGGATCCTTAAGTAATAAGAAATGGAAAAACAAAACAGTCGACGTAACGAGTATATCTGATTGAATAACAAATTTAACCTTATAGCTTACAAAAAGGTACACTATACAGATTGTACAAGTATAAGCTCCTGCTACTTCATACCCAAACGAAGAAATAGAAGAACGATGTAGCCGAGACACTGAATAGAAACCATTTCAAATATCTAATTGGGGACTTTAACGCCAAAGTGGGAAAAAGAAACAGTAGTGATAAACAGAGCCGGCCCTACCATAGGGCAAACGGAGCAGTCGCTCCGGGCGCTAAGTCCTAGGGGGCGCCTTAGTGGTAAAGAAAATTAAAGGGTATAAAATTAGGGGCAACCAAGGGGGCGCCATAATAGGATCTCGCTCCATCCTAAAACTTGCCTCGGGCCGGCACTGGTGATTAAATACTGATTCTGGCTCACAAAATGTGAATGACCCAAAATCAAAAAATTTCATAATCATGAAAAATCAAAATCGAGAAAAATCATTTAAAAATATAAAAATCGTTTCTCACCCACCAAGAATCACCTCATTCACATGCCTATAAATTTTTTAAGCCTCAAAAATCGAAAAATTATCTATCCACTATGGAGGTGTGAATTTTATCATGCAAATAAATAAAAAAAATTGGTACCATAAATCATGCCTATGACTAGTTAGCTACAAACTGTCCGATGTGCTTTATTAGAATTCCCACAATCTTTCGTACCTCTGTATACTAATGTTAAATCATTCATGTTGTTTAAATCCTCAAAATGCTTATCCGTTATTTTTTTTCATTGAGTTGATCTGGCAAATAAACTTGAAATTCATTCCATTTAGAGTCCATGAGAACTACTAATTTTTTAATCGCCGTAGCTAGTGGATACTGATTTAACATTACGAACTGGATATTCTTTATCAGTTTGTAGTTCGTTTAACTTTGGGGCCGTCCATAAATTACGTAAGATATTTTGGGGTGGGTGGGGTCAAGAATTTCTTACGATTTCTTACTCAGGGATAAGGGGGTAATAGATCTCGTCTTACGTAATATTCTTATTTTTATTTTTTGATCTCGTTGAGTGATGGCGCTTTGAATTTGGCTTCAATTTGATGGTTTCTATTAAGAACGCTCGTTGTCTCGTGTGACATGATAGAGTAATAACGGCCGCGTTTCTTTATGCAGCGCTCGAGAAACACTTTACAGTGAACACACTGAAACTGGTTTCTAATTGGCAAACACTGCTCACGACGTCGTTTCGCTACACTCTCGCTGTATAAAGAAACGCGGGGAACGCTAGCAGATTCACGCTCTACACATTTTTTTGTCATGGGAGAAAGGTCGTGTGGTGGTTTCTCTCTCGTTTTTTATTAGAATAAGTGCACCACTCTTATGGGTTATACACCCATAAGAGTGTATAACCCATAAGAAGTTATACACACTAAGAATACATAAACCAAAATACACGATACAAAGTAAACATAAAATTAGTATTCGGCTTTTAGTGAAAACTAAAATGTAAAACTATATATTAGAAATTATAAATAGTCTTTTCTTCCATATTTTTGAACATAATTGTAAAAAGCATCAAACAGTGGTTTCTGAACAAGCTTATCGAGTGGATATGGCCACCTGAAATCAAGCGTAAAAATTTTTTATTTTCAGAATAAGTCTATCTTGATCGTAAATTGGACAATGATAGATCATATGGTCGACGGTGTCTAGGTTTTCTGTAGAGCAAAAGCAAGAAGCAGTTTCTGCCCGGTTATACATCGCCAGGTATCTTCTAAAATTACGACGCTCAGTAAGTAGTTGAGCAGTAGCAAACGCTAAATCGCTAAGAAGTTCAACACTAGAAAAATAAAGTCTTGTTATTCTACCAGTTTTACTTTTTACTTTTAGCAGATAGGGGATGAAACCAGGGCTACTTAAAGGTATCGCCTGGGGTGAAAATGAAGAAGAAAGATGATGTAGAGGAAAAGGCTGAAGGTGAAGTTACAAAGAAGGATAGGAAAGGGGATGAAACGGAAATCTAAAGGGAGCCTGTATCGCTTTTATTTAAAACAAAATTAAAAATTTACATACAGTCGTGTAACAGTAGTAAAGAATTACAGAAGCGCCCTAAATGATTGGCACGCAAACATAACATATTTACAACACCCATTGCACTTAGAATGAGAGAACCGACAAAGTTCCTTATGATAAGACAAACAATATGTACTGTACAATGAACTGGTAGACATCAAGACATAACAATAAATGACACCACACTAGAAACATTAGATGAGTATATATACCTGGGACTAATTGTCCCAAGTAATACCCAAATCTGGCTCACTACTTCCAGAAGTCAACAGGAAGATCAAACTAGCATAGTAACTCTACATTAGGACGAAACTTTGTAATCTTCAAATCCGGAATGCCAATCCACCTGAAGAAAAGAGCGATTGATGAATACCAACATGGGCGTAGCCAGAGTTTTGTTATGGGGGGGGCCTAGTGGAGGCNTCAGATAAATCATTTATTAAAATTTACAAACACTAATTTTATACATTCAATGAAGTTTGGCCTAGAACAGGAGTCGGCAACCTATGGCACGCGAGACAATTTTCAGTGGCACTCTGATTGAATACAAATGTAGTAA